GTGTTTGTGTCTAACGGTACGCTGAAGTCTGAGGACAAGTCCCAGGATGCCAGGTTTGGTTACGCCCTGGCAGCCGCTCCAGACCTCAACCACGATGGCTTCACTGACCTGCTGGTTGGAGCCCCGCTGGAGGACGAGCACAGGGGGGCCATTTATGTCTACCACGGAGATGGTATTTACATCATACACAATTACAAGCAGGTACTTGTTGTTTGCCTACAATTACATTTTCCCTGAGTGTATTTCAGTATTCAATCAAACTGATGTTTAATTTTCTACCTCTCTCGTCCTCTTAGCGTATCTCAGGGTCATCCATTTCCCCCTCCCTGCAGTACTTTGGCCGCAGTCTGAGTGCTCGGTTGGATTTGGATGGAGATGAGCTAATAGACTTGGCAGTTGGAGCGCAGGGCAACGCTGTACTGCTCAGGTGGGTTATAAGACGGAAGGGCATTGCCAGAACAGATTTTATAGCTGTAAGCACTGGGAGATAATGAAGGTTAACAGCACATTAAATGCACCCCTTATTGAGTGCTGCAGGGATAACGTATTTTTGTAGGCCAACCCGGAAGTTAGCTTCCCACGGTCCCTTCACAAGAAGTCAATGGGATTTGGGATTATTGCAGAAAATGAGCTTCATGGCAAACATACATTTTTTGATACAAGTTTTGTTCAACAAGGTAATCTTTACAATTGAACTCTACTTTAATGATTATTGAAGCATGAATGCAATAGTCAGAAAAAGCTCATGTGAGGCGACAAGCGAACTACAACAAACGAATTTCACCACGGTTGCATGAGCGAGAGTATGCACAACGAGGCTGTAAAGGCAGACTAGTCAGCATGGTGATGTTTTGTAGTTTTATTTAGCCACTAGTTAGCAACTGCCTTTTTTTAGACACTTAAAAGCTTCAGGAGAGGGGTATATACTGATGTATTTTATATTGTGGAACAAAATGTTATGACGTTAAACCTATTTTAAGCTTGTGATTCAAAAAACCTATTGACTTCGAGACGAGGGAACCGGTAGTTCAATTATGCGAACTAATTTCCAGGTTTTAGGACTCGTTCCCGCAGCCCTCTGTAGACAGATAGTTTTCACATTGAAAAAATAATTAATTAATTTCCTATGTAGACTGAAATGATCTACATTTTGTGGTGTCACATGGCTAAAACTGAAATCCTGTTTTATTCACTGTTCCTCCTGTGCCCAGCTCTCGAAGCATCGTCCAGATCAACGTGAGTCTGTCCTTCCAGCCTCACTCCATCAACGTCATTCAGAAAACCTGCCAGAGGGGCGGCAGAGAGTCAGCCTGTCTCATCGCCACCGCCTGCTTCACAACCGTCTCACGCTCCCCTGGACCACACAGCAACAGCTTCGGTATAACACTTTATATTCTACCCTCACTAATCCTCGTAACGAGGACTGTTAGTACTGTGAATTGGCCAGACACACATAATAATTAGAATGGGACTTTTCCCAACACTCACCATCTGTCCTAATCATAGACTGGTCCCAATTACCTGCTCTCTCCTCAGATCTGTGGGTGTCGGCCATGTTGGATGACAGGAAGTTGTCTGCGAGGGCGCTGTTTGACGAGAGCTCCCACCGGCAGACCCAGCTGGCAGTCCGAGTTCACATAGGACAAACTCTCTGCTACAAGCTGCCCTTCCATGTCTATGTGAGAGTTGTTACACACATCAACCACAAGTTTGAAATTGAAATGATGTGGTGACTTTACTTTATCACTAACATTTGTTTCTGTCTTTGTTGCAGGACACGGCAGATTACATCCGACCAATTAGCTTCTCACTGCAGTTTAAGATCAATAATACAGAGAGCGGTCCAGTGTTGGATGAAGGCTGGCCAACAACTGTCAAGAAATCTGTGAGTGGTTGTGATTTCTAACATCCTTATTGCATTACGTTTCCTCCCTCTGTTCTCCATCAAACACGCTGTCCTCTCCACTTGTACCTCTCCAGATCCAGTTCTTTAAAGACTGTGGTGAGGACGATGTGTGTACAACAGACCTGGTGCTACAGGCTCACATGGACATCTCTGGGACAAGGTACAGATTTGAGATATTCTCCTTATACTCATTTATTTCCACATCGGTTTATCAAGATCAGATATGTACTCAGTTGTTGGGTTTCAGTGAGTTTCCATTGTGTTTCCTCCACAGACAGAAGCCTTATGTGATTCGCAGCCCTCGTAGGCGTATGGCGGTGGAGGTGCAGCTTCAGAATAGACTGGAAAACGCCTACAACACCAGCCTGACGCTGCACTATTCACGCAACCTGCACTTCTCCAGCCTCAGTATTCGGGTATACCACACATAAATACTGCAAACACATGAAGAACCATGTTTAACTCACCATAAACATTTATACACACCACTGACAAACTCACCTTTTCTTTGGATGTAGGAGGATGCCCACTTCAAGATCGAGTGTACAGCACTTGGCGCCAACAGCCACTCGTGTAATGTCAGCTATCCAGTATTTCGCTCCCAGTCAAAAGTACGTCCGCACCAAGAAAATAGCTCCCATCACTCTCTTGACTTCCACTCATACTTCACTTCCTCCAGGTGAAATGTTTCACTGCAGCAGGTTGTTTTCTTTTTTTGAAGGTTAACTTCATGTTGGAGTTTGAGTTCAGCTGCACATCCCTGCACAGTCGAGTGCAGATGAAGCTTCGTGCTGGCAGGTAGCCGACTAAAGCAGCAAGTTCAACATACTCCGTACACGCACAGTTCACAAAATACTGAAAACCTCAATAAACATTTGGTTTTTCTTCTGTAAAAAGCACCTTCGTTTTTGTAACTCTCTGGTTCTTTTACAGCGACAGTGTCGAGAGAGAGGATACTTTGGGGGACAACAGTGTTCAGCTGCAGAGTTTTGTTCAGTATGAACCAGATTTGTTTCTTAGCAGGTATGTTTGCGCAGCATATTGTTTTGAAATTTCAACAATCAGATATTTTAGCTACTTTAAATATTTTTGCATCAATGTGTTGTTTTTTTTTTTTATCTGTGCAGTGACTCTAATTTGAACCGATATGAGGTCCACCCCACTCGGACAGTGTCGGAAGCAATTGGACCAGAATTCTACACTCACCTCAGGGTAAAGCTATGGCTCACATGCTCTTTTTTTATGAACTTTAATGCAACCCACGGGGTCAAGTTCTTGTAACGCTCTTGTCATCATCACTCTAAACTAGAATTACTGCCTAGCTTTTTGTATGCCTCTGACAACCATTTAAGTTGCAGTTTACGCACATGTCTGTCCAAAATGTCAACACTTCAAGATGATATCCTATTACACGTGTGTGAAAATTGTCATAAATATAATATACATTTTTGAGTAATGGCCAAAAACATGATTTGTGAGGTCACAGTGAACCTGACCTTTGAACAGCCAACATCTTATCAGTCTATCCTCGAGTCACATTGGACGTTTGGGCCAAATTTGTAAAAATTCCATCCAGTCATTTTGCAATCACAAAATGGGACGGACGGACTGTCGAGGAGGCATAAAAACAAAACGAGGCAACATTAGAGCATTTTTTTGTCTGTGCTTTTAGCTGCAGAACCTCGGCTGTTACTCTGTGAGTAATCTGGAGCTGAGGCTGCATCTGCCCTCCGTGGCTGCAGGAGACAGAGTCTTCATGACCGTCACTGATGTCTCACACAATGTGAGTAGTGCTGCTTTGTGAGTGTTTGTATCTCTCTTTTACATCAGATCTGACAGATTTAATTTGCCCCGTAGGCCACGGGAGTGAACTGCAGCGTGCTGAGTGATCTGGCACAGCTGAAGGCCAGACAGAGAGATGTACGCTCCCTTCATCCTGAAGACATGATGCAGAATGACATACTGGTGAGGCCTCTGGTAGCACAGTAGCTGCCGAACACTGAACACTGTCAGTATACAAGTTAACATGCATGTTTGATATCTATGTTTTTAGAACTGCAGCAGATCCTGGTGCACTGAGATTGTGTGTGAAGTCCAGCAGCTTCTCAGAGGGCAGACCGCCGCCATTCGCGTCAGTCGCCAAGTTCATGATGATTTTTTCAGAAAAGTGAGTTACACAACCGCACGCAGCCTTAATATTTCTGTCCTGTGACACAAACATTGGTCATCACCTCTGTCTCTTCTTTTGTAGGCCAAATACAAGTCAGTGAAGATAATAGGTGCCTATCACCTCGCAGCTCAGGAGACTAACCTTATTACTCTGGGCACAGGAACAGTCTGGAGGGAGGTAAGACGACTGTGGCAGGATTTTGAGAGGCACAATGGGAATGGAATTTTCTTTCTCCAAATCTCTCCCTTCATCCATTTTTCTGTAGACTGTACTGGAGGTGCTAAAGGGCCGGGCTATTCCCATCTCGCTGTGGATTCTGATTGGTAGCATCATTGGCGGTTTGCTGCTACTGGCCCTCATCATTTTCATACTATGGAAGGTATTCTCATGTTACATTTACCTTAAAATATCTTCAGGAAAATGAAGTGTCTTGTGGACAAAATATCAATCTCTATCTTATTTCTCGTCAGATGGGATTCTTCGCACGCAAACAGAGAGGAGAGGATGAGAACCACGAGGACTGAGTCCAACTTTTGCAACAGTCATTTGCCATGACGCCTACCACGTGAGCCGAGTCCACCTCTTTCCAGGCACAGAGACAATTTTGGACTCAATACGCAGATGCAACAGGGACCGCCAGGACCAAAGAGAGAGGGTCCAACGGAAATGCACTACCCACTATTTCCAGGGTCGGGAGCACTTATGTAAATAATCTTTTTCTAATTTTAAGGAAAAATCAAAGTGTCCTAAACCACAATTCTTCTATTTAATATACAGACATCTTCATGGTTTTACATTTCAAACAATCACGTTGCCCTATGTTTGTCTTTCAGTTTTGTGTTTGTTCTTCAATGAAATTAAAACTGTTGAAAAGAAGTGGTCAATTTATTGATTTTCTGACGCGTGCAATAAAAACAAGCAAAGTCATCTATTAAGATTTTACTGCATCAATCCAGTCATATAAACTATAAAACAGCCATACTTGACAGCATTCATACACAAAAAAGTAACGGAACAAATCTTCAAAAGTACTGCGTGTGAGTTGTAATGCCCTCAACTTGTGGATGCAGTGGAGGTGACGTAGGACTCTATAAGAAAGATGGATTCATCTACCTGGTTCTCTGCTGAATCTAACCTGGAGGGGAAAAGAACAGGAGTGAGAATTGTAACCAACAGTCACCAGTAGAAAAGGGTGTTGTAGTTTTGTTTTGTGCTCTTACTTGTTGATATGAAGCCGTAATGCCTCCAGCTGTTGCTTTTCAGTAGCAGTGATCATCTCCTCGACCTCCGTCAGCTGCTCAGGCTCAGCCCCACTGGCCTGGAGAGATGCCAGAATGGCCTCGATTCGCTGGGATTTCTCCAGCAGACGCCTGCCAGTCAAGCAGAAAACCAATCAAACATTGATGTGTGACAGTGTGTGTGAGCCAGACAGCTCTTAAGAGTTCCTCATGTGAAAGTATCTTGACTTCCTGGGCATGATGAACTCACTTGCTCTCTTTGGACTCAAAAAGGCGTCGCTCTATGAGGTTAGCGACTGTCTGCGAGAGAAAAACGTGAAGACCCAAAACATTACTGAAGGCAAAACCAACCAACATTTAAAGACAAAGAAAGCATGCCATACGTAGTCCTCTTCTAACCAGAGCTCTGAAGGCTACGGCGCATTCATTGTTTTTACCTTGTAGCAGTTCTGAAGCAGCATTCTTGCAGTCGGGAGCTGGTTGACGGTGTAAAGATAGAAAGTACGAGAGGGAGCGAAGTCAGGAGTCTTTGGGATTTCCTGAAGAATAGAAAGAAATGTCATGGCTGTTCAGAGAGAATAAGTAGGTAGATTAAAAGAATACCAGCTGGGGCTGCTCCCTCAAATTTGATGATTTAAAGTGTGTCCATTCAGATTATCAATGTCTCAGTGTAACTGCCAAATGGTCACTTATATTTAATTATTCCTGCGTCATTGTCCACAGACACACACAGAATAAAGAAAAAGGCTACGGTAAGGAAAGTAAGGAATATAAGTAAGGAATTAAGAATATCTCATTCACCTAGTGTATCTTCCAAAAGTAAGCCAAAATAATTTTCAAAGTAGGTTTTTGGATCAGGTTTATTTTTTTATTACTGCTACGTTGTCGCTCATGTTAATTCACTAAGAAAATAGAAGAGACTTGCTTTGTATATTTACATCCATCACAGTGTTCAGTATGTCCTCTCTTTTTTCTTGCCAAAGTTACAAATCATTTGTGGCAACAGTTCAGAGTGTCTACTTTGGAAGTTCTTCCACGTTGTGTTTAAGTGTTTTTGCGGGAATCAGGAGGAAAAGCGGTTAACAATCCATCACCCTAAGAATGCATTGATGCAAAGAGGGGCATCGTGAAAGCCTCTTCACATGTCAAGCTCGTACCTGTAGCTGGACCAGGTTCTGTGACAGCAGCGTGTAGAGCATGTCTTTGGCCTCTTTGGCTGGAATCATTGCAAAATCCTCCACCTGCTTCTGCTCCAGGTGACGTTTCCTCAGCAACAGACGGAAGATGCGCGCTGATCGGGAGCCAAATCTGATAACAGATTAAAAATGATTAATAATGATTACCGGGCAATCACATGTATACACGATTAAAAAAAACACACTTACCTCTCCTGTACTACAGACTCAAGCGTGGCTCGAGCCAGATTGGCCAGCGCTGTGTGCAGATCTGAGAGGTGAGTTAAGAAAAGCACCCACGCCTTGTGTTTCATGAATTTAAAATGGAACAAAACGTGTGTGTTGGTTTTTGACAATATGGTCATGAGCCTAAAAAAAAGATACTGACGACGTACATTCCTCCTCCACTTTCGCCAGCCTTCCCCACAAACTCCATCTAGGATATGAAAAGGACAAGGAGATCAAAACAAATCTTGCAGATAAAAATTTAAGATTCTAAAATTTGGCAGGTTCCTTGCAAAGGTCATACCGGGTCATCAACCAGTAGTGTGAGGTACTGGTCTAAGATGGGTCTGGCTATGTTGTAGCTGGTCGGGAGGGACCTGAAGATCTCGTTGGCTGAGAGAGGCTTTGTACAGGTGGCTGTGGGCGAGGTCGTCACCTCACTCATCCTCAGCATAGTCCTCAATATCTCACTGCTCGTCTGGGTTATTAGGAAGCAATTATGTAGAAAGACAATCATTATAACCATAATAATACCTTTTCCTTGTAAAGCAAACAGGCAGGCAGATATCGGTACAGCAGTGCGGACTGTAACATGATTAGAAACAGGTGGAAACAGCTTGCCTGGTTCTGTCTAAAGGTATCAAAATCTCCCGACCAACGCCTCTAAAGCTCACTAATTGACATGGTTTATATTTGTTTAACTTGTACAAAAACTCACTGACAAACACATTGCATTTCCTGTAAATTCTAATAATAATAATAGTCAACTTGTGTTTTATCAATTAAACACTTTTAATGTGAAGCTGCAGCAGTAGGAAATGTTTGGTTTGCATTAGCAGTAACTTTTTAGATTTTGTTCCAGGAATGACGCCACAAACAACCAGTTCATAATACTGTAAGTATGTAAATATTGCAATATTTTTATCATTGGCGCAATCCCCATTGTGTTACCTCATTCAGCAAAAGAGAGTGACTTAACAGACATTTATTTAAATGAAAATCTTCCAAGATTATTAGTTTAACAATTTCTTTATTTTTTGGCGCGGGCACAGTGACTTCTTTGAGTCTTATCGTCACCTTGAGGTTGCTATGAAAACGGTGGACGAAAAATAACATTAATTGTGCTGATGTGTTATTTTTGCACAGACACAGGCTAGCTGTTTCCCCCTGTCTTTATGCTAAGCTAACGTAGTGCTGGCTGGAGCAAATCGACACGAGAGTGGTATCAATCTTCTCATTTAAACCCTCTGAAAGACAGCGAATTTCACAAAATGACTATTCCTTAAACAATATATTTCAAACAGTCATGAGTAAAAAGCTGACCTGATCACACTTGTTGGCGACAGCACTGATGATGGCCTGGTCTCTGAAGTGGAGATGGAACCTCTCAAAATTGACCTGCCAGCTAATCCCTTCATCACCATGATTCTGAGCATTAGAGACACACAGAAAGAGACAGAGGGTCACACAAAAGATAAGCAAGGCGTTATATGCAAGGGGCAGGGAAAAGAAGAGGTCATTTGAGTTTTAAAAGCAAAGCAAATGTGTTTAAAGTGTAACTATCATGTTCCAAACACTCACCTGTGAATCCATTCTAGCCTTCTTTGCATTCCTTTGGTCCTCTCCTTCCTCACTGCAGAGTTGGCGTTTGCCTCGCCCGACAAGTGTCATGTGAGGCACCTTGTAACAGTCGGGGAAGCTCTCCGGAGTGGGCAGAGCAGTGCTAACAGGGGCAGCTGGGGTACCAGGGGTCGCCGGGGTAGCTGGAGTGGCACTGCCTGTTGTTCCTGCTTTCACCATCGGGGGGCAGCGCTGAAGAAAATGGGTCTCCACCAGTTTGGAGAAGGCAGTGGACACTTCAGTGTAATCCATGCAGCGACCCTCTAGAACAACATGGACAATTTAAATTGCTGTTGTTACTTTTTCGTCATATTCAATCTCTATATAGATAATAAGATCACAAATTAAGTTTATGTTTTGGTGCATTTTGCTTGATTGACATCCTGCCTGGTTTCCACCAAGGCTGCCATTTGACAAAAATTGGATTTTTATTATTGGATTGGATAACTGCCAAGTGTTGAGTGATAAACCCAAAACTAGGCTTAGAAACATGCCTTCAGAAAACTGATGGAGAAGCTTTTCTATAGCCTTTGATTAATACAGACACTGAGATACTGACCCTCCATGTTCTGTGTGAGGCGGTCGGCGACCGTCTTAACCGTGCTACTCATGGTCATGTGACCTCTCTGCAGAAACTCCTCTATGATTAGCTCTCCGGTGTCCCCGTACAGGGTTTTGGCAGTGTAGATGTAACGCGGGTATCTCAGAATTCTCAGAATCCGATCACAGCCGGTCCGATACTCTGTGGGGCTCCCTGGTCCTTTACGGCCTGAGCTGAACACACAGGCCCCATGCTGCACGAGCACACACAAGGACTTCTTTACCTACAAGGAGAAAGAAAGGGGAGCAAAGAGGTGCTTTACCTTCACCATTCCCTTCACATGCACACAAAACAATACAATTTGTAAGAGCTATTTATTTGATTTCAGTATTTACTTATTTCATTCATAAGTAGTATTGTTTAATTATTATAGATGTTTGCTTATTGAGGTTAGATTTTTGTATACATTAAGATAGCCTTTTCTTTTGATAGTCATTCGATTAGTTTAATTATTTTATTTGTTGTTGTTTAAGTATACTTAGTTTTGTGGTTTGTTTATGAATTGGATAACACTATATACATCTATCGGAGTAGGCAGGTACAGGACCAGCATGCACCAGGGTGGGCCTGTGTTTTTTTTTTTTTACCAGAGCAAGAGAGGCAGCGATAGGAGTTCCTTTGTTCATTTGTTTGTTTGCTTTTTTTGGTTTGCTAAATAAATAATGAGAAAAAGAGAATCCTGTATGGACAACGCATTATTTTGCCTGCATAAACCACAAACCCATGGTGCGTCAGTGGCCCTTTGTTTAATGTTTGTTTTGGATTTTTCAGACAAATGGCCACTACACTACTAATCAAATGAAGGCAGAAAATGTATTTGTATATTATATGTATTAGCATACTGTGCTACTCTTATTGTTCCAAAAAACAGCACATTTTTGTATAAAAAAACTTTTTTCTCCATGGTATTGTTTCACTTGTCAAGGTGTTAATATAATCAGGTTACAGATGATGCAAAAAAACTACTCTATGTAAACGCACTGTAAATTACACCTAGAACAACTTTATAGTCCACCGATGAAACCAGAAAGACTGCTGAACTCTATTTGAAAATGCTAAAAATCAGTGTGTGTATAACAGTATATACATGTGTAATTATATTTCCATGGTGTGAAGTGGAGAGAGTAACAGCCTTGAAACAGAAAGGGTAGGAGTGGTACCAGGTCCAGTGGGATGCCAGTCTCATGAATGATGGTTCTTAAATTCTGTGCTCCACCTCTGAGCAGGTGTGTTCCCACTTTCTCCACCACTTCTCCAAAATGCTCCCGCAGCAGGAGACCACACAGACGCACCTCCTGGGCAGTCATCTGCACAGAAAAACACATACAGAGGAAGAAAGGTCTCACATATAGACTCCATACAAACTTTACACTACAATCTATATTAAGCACCTATATCATAAACACAACAATCAATACAACACTATCTATGTGCCTTTTAATACACATTATATACGGTAGGCTTAGCTTGACCTTTCTAGAACATCTGATTCTAAATCACTCACTAAAAACATACTAAGGAACAAGTAGCTTGCCAAGTAAACGGTCACTGAATAAAAGGATTTACAAATAAACTTATCATGGATAAGTTGTCATAATTGCAAGGAATTATGCTATTTTACAGGGGAACACGAGCGTTTTACACAATGAGTAAAATGTGTTTATGTTGAAGTAAGACTATGTGCAAAACACTAGTTACTATGTGTTATATGAAAAACATACACTCTTATTACTGTATATTGCAAACAAATGTCATGCTTTTCTGATGTATTATCAAGTGCATGGACTTGCATACACCTTTTTCCACTGCAGCACAGATGTTACTAATAATATTAACAATTCACAATGGCTCTGTTTCATTGAAGTGTTCCAGTCAGCGACAGAGAGCCAATATGAACATTATCAGGTCTCAATAGTGAAAAATGTCTGACAGTTTCTCACAGTGCAAGGTGACATCTTCAAATGTCTTGTTCTGTCAGACAAACAGTCCAAACCCGCTAAATATTCTGTTTAAAATGTATAAACACAGAAAAGCAGCAAACTCCTTACATTTCAGAAGCTAGAACTGGATGATGTTTTGGCATATTGAATTGAAAAATGATAATTGCAGATTAACTTTCTGTCCGATATTCAACTGATCGTTCCAGCACCAATAAAATACAGCATTTTTGGAGCTTGACCCATACTAACTGAGCTGACTGAAAGTCAAAATATCTGGGCCTTCTATTGTTAATTTATCATGCAAAACTCCCACAACTTTATGGAGGTGCTGTACAAAATCACTTGAGTGATTTAAGGCATCAACTATGATTAAGAGACTTGTTTGGACAATGAAACTTGGTCACTTCTCTAAGAAAAAGTGACCAGCATTCCTGAGTTCAACTGTGCCTATTCCCCATAATTGCATTTTCTAATTTAGACTATTAATGAATGTATTGCTTGATACTGTACAGAAACGCCTCCTTGGTAGTGTAACGTTAGAAATAAATGTCAGTGTTTGTCAAAACGCAACATAATAATACAAACAGAAGGCTAAAGCGTGCGCGCACGCACACACACACGCGCGCGCACACACACACACACACACACACACAGTATCCACTGTCAGTCGTTCAGCAATACACAGCTTGACTAGTTTAAAAACATAAGAAACAAGTAACCTTATTTCACACGGTTACAAGTGAACGTAGCTGCGCAGGTAGCAATGCAACAGCAACACTTTACATACTAGCTAGCTAGTTAACGGCTAATATTTACATTATGTCATCCGAAAAGTCAGATATTTTTCACAAACCTTTCCCACAGACAAGTTTCAGTACACAGGGAATTCCTTGCCTTAAGCATCCCACTGAAAGTCAACCGGACACACGAGTCTTCTCGCAGACAACACACGAGCACTTCCGGTATTCAGCTCTACTCGTTTGGATTTGATCCGCGGTGCCGCGGTGCATGCTGGGCTGGAGGCGGACAGCTGTCTTCAGTTCGTGGAGGACCGACGTCAGTGTTTGTGCTGGTCCGGGGAAGATGGCGGAGGCTGCGGCTGTTCCACCGCATCGGTTTTTCTGTCACTGTTGTAAGGGAGAAGTGAACCCTAAACTCCCGGTAAGGCAGATGTATTTCTTTGTTTGCCTGTCGTACTCTTGTGCAAAATGTGCGGTTGACAAGTCAACCTTTTTCCCGAAATGCCGTTTGTTTCGCTTGCTCGCTACAGCTAAACACTAGCTAGCCAGTTAGCATTTAGCGGCGTTTGTTGTTGTTAACTCTCTAAATAAAACTCGTGACACTCCAAATGTGTTGTCAAAAAACAGGCAATCAAAAGCAGATATCGATATTTGTCAGGCTAGCATGTTTAAGACAGTTAAAGCACTGTGCTTGATGCCTCGCTTTGACAGCTTGTGGATGTTGTGTTTTGATCAGAATAACGGAAACAGCTGAGAGAAGAAGCTCTATGTTATTCTTGTTTTGTTGTATACACGGTATTAACATTAGCGGTCTGATATTAGGGTTCCTTTCGTTTACAGGGTTGTTTCTGTTAAACACACACTTGACAGGAGGAGTTGGGGAATTTTCAGGAACATAAACACGTCGTTTTCAGTTTCAGTTATAAAGTGAAATGTGAGAGTAATGTAATGTCTAGACGCTGACATGGTCCAAATGTTGACAGGCCCTTGCTAACCTCAACATATATCACACATACATGTCCTATGTATTTGTTAGGGATCTCTATTTACACCCAGTCGCCAGTTTATTAGGTACATCTAGCGTTAGCTCAAACTAATCCAGCACTAAACCCGAGGTTCATGAAGGTTATAATGGTTTAGTTTAAACTGTTTTAAAAAGGTGTTCAGTTCAATTTATTGGTTTATTTTGGAAGCTTCTGTTTTCAGTCTGACTTATGTGTTAAATTGACTAGAGCTGAAATTATTAGTTTATTAATAGATAAGGAGACAATATTGATAACTTATTAATGATGTAAGTCATTAAGTAAAATGCAAACATGTTTCTAGTCTCAAATGTTAAGATGATAAGGTTTTCATAGTCTTTTAATTTTATGATAGTAAAATTCATATCTTTCGGTTTAAGTCTGATAGTTGTACACAAGCTATTTTTCTATATCGTTATTACACTGACCAAATGATTTATCCATTAAAGGATCAAATAATTGGTATATTAATTGAATATGAAAGTAGGTGTTGACCAAATGTGTAACATTTTAGCTGGGTCTATCTTGATTGATATAAATGAGGTGAACAAAAAGTACCTAATAAACGGGCATTGTCTCTGTGACAGTAACTCAGTCCTCCAGATTATCCTGCTGTCAGCTGAATCCATATTTTTATGGTATGTTTGAGGGTAATTCCAGCCTGCCCCGTCATTGACTCTAAACTGGTCTGCTTGTCTCAAGAACACTCAATCCTGTGGCATGTCGTCACTGAGCCAACTTTCTGCAACACCCACACACTACTACAGTATATCTCAAAGAGTCGTGGATCCGTTTATGCAACATATAACCTATCTATGAGCAAATGACACACACAACAGATTCGAGACATGACGATAGTTTTACATCCCCAAATGTTTGTAAACTACGCTAATACAGGATGTTATATCGTCATGTGAGCATGGTATTCTATTGTTCTCTGTTTTCAAACGCATTCAGTGAGCTCCAAATAGAACTGAGTTAAAATGTATAATATGTTTTTGACCTACTTTTTCCATCAACATCGTTTACATAAACATCAGTCTAATCACTTCTTCTTCTGTATATTAAATGACCCGACTTCAGTCCTGTTCCCATAGTCAGGGATTCCCTCTCTTACACTAGGGAGACAACATATGATCCAGCTGTACAAGCTACCAGCTGTGTGTTTCACATTCTATTTTAGTGGCTTCTATAACAAACACACACACACATGTTACAGTTACGTGTGGTTGGCAGACCAACTCTACCTCTTGGGCTACATTCATAAAACAGCGTCATACAAATCTGATATTATTCTCGTGAAGACAAACTGATTAAGTTTTGTTAATCAAACCGGGCTGCATAATGTCTTTACTCTTTTTATGACTTTCTAGGCATTAATATATCACAATTTAGCAAATACTATGGAGATATTTCTTTTTAAAAATCCATCTATGTTCATTTCTCGTGCACTACACCAGACAGCACATGTGTACAAAAGCCTCAACCATGAATTTCTTGTTCTTTTAATAAATATTTTCTTGTAATTATTCCTTTGGACAACAAAATCATACAACTAGATCATATCATCACAAATTGATTTTACTAAAGTAGAGCAGAAAAATGATGTAATAAATAATCAACATAGTCGCTCGACAGACAATGAATCCGCAACTACTTTGATAATCAATTATTCATTTCAATCATTTTTAAAACAGAAAAAGCAGCTTTTCTCTGCGTTTATAATCGTTTATAATCTTTGGGTTGGGGACTGGTGAAAATGTCACCTTGGTTTCTACAAAAATGTAATGTGCATTTTTCTTCTTTCCACTGCGACTCAATCTTTGTCGTAAATGTATTTCAGGAGTATATCTGTCCGAGATGTGACTCAGGATTCATAGAGGAAGTAACAGAAGATTCCAGGTGAGAGACATTTATTATTTTAGGAATCTACCTCATTCTCAGTCTGGAACAAAAGCAGCAACATGAGCTGTTTTCATGTTGCTGTAAACAAGAAGCCAGATGTTGTGCTGTAGAAACGTGTAGGCGTATCATGCAGTTCTGTCCCAGGCTAGCACTAAACCTGAACATGTGTATAGGGTTCAGTGGTTGTTGCTAATAAAGTGTGTCTTGTCCCTTTGTGTGCGGTTTCCCTCAGTCTCCTAGAGGGTGTCGCTAACGGGATAGATGACGCAGCCACACAATTTGCAGAGGTAGAAGCTGACTTGACGGATTTCGGAGAGAATTGGGTGGGGAAGTGGGCAAAGAGAATTGATTGCAATCATTTATGTGTTTAATGAACTTGTACTTATTTCCCTGCCCGGTTCTTGACTGAACTTTCTGTTTTTATTCCTCTCTTTTCCCATTGTCCCTCCTGCTTTCTGATCCTTAATCCCACTTTCTGTCTGAAAATCTCTTTCTTCGACCCCTTACCTGTCTCCTCCCACCATCCCTGTAGCTATGGCACCTGTTGTTACTGGAGCGGCCATTTACAGCAGACAACGACACACCTGACTCAGAACCTCGGCTCCCCGGAGGGCGCTTGGGGGGTCTCAGTGACCTGGGGGGTTTGGGAGGGGGACCAATCGGAGGGTCAGTCCCAGCAGGCCTAGGGGGACCTATGGGGGGTCTACTAGGAGCCGGGGATCACTGGGGACCAGGACGTCCCCCTCGCCTGCACAGCCAGAGGAGATACCGGTCCAGAGGCAGCAGTAGACCAGACCGCTCGCCTGCTGTTGAGGGGTGAGTAAAGTTCAGTCTTCCTTACCATCGTCTATAAACGACAGTGCTATTTATGCTCTAATACTATCTACTCTTGTTTTGGTGAGGACATTATGTATTTTCTCTCCGTTTCTCAGGATTGTACAACAGTTCCTCGCCGGCCTCTTTGCCAACTCTGGGGTCCCTGGCTCACCCCCACTCTCATGGTAAGATGACATTACGGTAGCATCACAGTGCTAGCGTCACCGTGTCAGTGCTATTTCTTATCAACTTGTGGTGTCTGACTCTCAGGACAGGGATGCTGCACTCTAACCCGGGGGATTACGCCTGGGGACAGGGAGGGTTAGACGCCGTTATAACACAGGTAAACCAAACTTAATAGAACTTTTTTTGTCCCGGTCACCTTTCAATTTCTCTGCAGTTTACTAATGTGTTTGCGTGTGTAGTTACTAGGTCAGTTGGAGAACACAGGACCTCCTCCAGCAGAGAAAGAGAAGATCTCTTCTCTCCCAACTGTCAATATCTCTCAGGAACAAGCAGGTCAGTAATTCCTTATTTTTTCATATTTGCCTTTTTATCTCAAGTACAAATTGCAATATTGCTCATGGACATGACTGTACCTGTGGATGCAATAACTGTATTTAAACAATTATCCAAATGCACACCTTGGGTTGGACCAGCTGTTTGTGAATCTATTAAGTCTGTATGAAAAGGCACACTAACTAATGGCTTATATATGCATACAAAGAGACTACTAATAACAGAGCTGCCATCATGTGAATACATGTTTATTTGTTCAGAAGGCTGAGCAGCACTTAGATGCAGCTTCAAAAGGCAGCCAAGAGAAGCCGCTGAAACTGTCTGTTTAGAACGAAAAATCCATTAACCTTGAGTATCAATGCGTTCCATAAATTATTTAGATTTTTATTCTTGACTTCCTCTTCTATGTATACGGTCATATTTACTACTTTGCTTTAACTGTGTGCAATAGCTGACTTCTTTGGAGAAATGACTCTCCATGTGTCTTAAGGAGTCAGGCCTTTACCCTTTTCCATAATTGTTTTAGTAATTAGTAAAAACCATGCGTGGTACCGCTTTACTGCTAAAGAACTGATCTGTAGCAAGTCATTAAGTCACTGATGATTACCACTAGAAACCACGAGGGTATTGATAAAACATTTCTATCTCCACTCCTGTAGACTGCTGTATGGAATGTCCAGTGTGCAAAGAGGACTTCGCAGTGGGAGAGCCAGTCAGACAGCTACCCTGTAACCACTTCTTTCATTCAGACTGTATAGTACCATGGCTGGAAATGGTGAGTCATGACAAAGAGGGTTTAACAAACTCACAAAATAGATCTGACATGTGATACTGTATATGGGATATTCACAGCGCTCATGCATTAAGTATTAAGACCTAAAGGTAATTTGAACAAATGCTTTGGCGGCTCAAAGTTGCTCAAAATAAACAAGAAACATTGCTGCCCGGTGCAACTGAGTGGCTCATTTATGTGTTCATAATAGTTTTCGGACAACAACGGAGGTTAATTGCACAGGGGAATAAGCTGTGTGAGACAGGAAATAGGATCAGTTTATTTATTTAAATGGTAGACCAGACAGAAAGACCCTGGCAGCCTGAGGGGACTAAAATAATGAGTCAACTTCTGGAAAACTCCCGCCTAAAGCTGACGTTATCTATGTTCTGTTCTGTGGCCACTCAGCATGACACATGTCCAGTGTGTAGGAAGAGTTTGAACGGAGAAGACAGCAGCAGCCAGCCCCCATCAGAGTCCCCCACCCTCTCCATGGACCCCCGCACACAGGAGAGATGGTCCTTCTGAGACGCCCACCTGTCTCATCCCTCGGTTCTCCTCGCCTACATCCAACAACACACCGAGAAGACAAAGCGCTTATCACTTTCCTCTCTGTTGCCGTCTTAATCATCTCAGTCTGATATTTTTTGTACTTTCATTTTCTATTTTAACGCCTTTCTCCTCAACCTACCATACAGATACCCGTACAGACGTCTTAACAGTCAGTTGAGGTCTGGGAGATCTCTTCTTTTTTTTTTTTGCCTCATAAAAACCAGCCTAGATTGATGATGATCAAGCCTATGTCTTCTCTACTTCCACCTCGAATGCAAACGCCATCCGTCTTGAAATGCACTGCTGCAATACACTATTGTGGGGAAATTCCAGACTTTATATCACACCATGCCCTCTTTACTCATCAGAAAATTAGCTAAATCCTGCAACTGAGCCCTATACGGCAGATGGGAATACTGTAGGGGTTACCTTCGCTCGTTCAGCATTTACAGGGCCTGGACTCAACATGAACACCTATCGCCCTGCAATAAATGTTATGTTTATGAAGGGTATAATGATACATTTTTGTTGAGATGATCTTGATTGAACTCTTGTTATTTATTCTGGCGGTGTTTTATTGGATTGCATTGTAAAAGGTGTTCATGTTATTGTGTCCACTCTCTGTAGTGTACTTCAATAAACACTTTTTTAGGAATCATGTTGAGTCGCTGCTGTTTCACGGCCCCAAATGGAAGCTGACATCGAATGAAAGCAAGTGATTCCTTACACCTTTCGGGGGGGGGGAGAACATTGAATATACCAGTAAGGGAATACAATTGTCCCTTTATCCAGTCATTTAGATTAAAATATAGTGCTCCTGGTGTATATATATTTACAGATGGCATCCCTGTCGTTTGATTCCTCCGTTTGACATTCACATTTTTTTTATCACTTTTGATGTAAATAATTTTAGTCCAACTTATTGTTTGCAAAGGAAAAAAAAAAAACATTGAGAATGTTGACACAAATGTGAAATTACCTGGTTATCAAACTGTATATTATATATATGAAAAAATGTCTATGATGTATTAATAAATTGACAAAAAAATGGTCGTAGTTGAATTTTCATTGTTCTTTGTATTATATACGGTATATGTTCTCAAACCTGGGTGACTGCACCCAAAAATACATAAAATGTGTATTTTCAAACAATTTACACTTTATTTTAAAATTAAATAGCAACAGAAGGCATTTACAATTTCTGTACATTATTTCTGTGATTGTGAGGACACTTGAAGCATCTTGTTAGCTGGAAATCAAGGCAGTAGTTTTGGCACAGGTCAGTCAGGTGAACTGATACATTCAGGTTCCCAATAGGAATCGCTGCATTTTAGGCTTTTGAAGGAAAATCTAATGAAGTTATGTTTGAGGTTATTTTAAGTGACTACTGAATTACTAAAGCTGTGCAGAAAAGCACAGCAGATTATGAAAACGTGTGCGAGTGGCTTAATAGAGACAACGTATTCAGAGTAATAGAAGGTTCTCAACATGAAATGTGCATAACACATTAGTAATGTGGTCGAGGTGTATGTGAACTTGTATTAATGATCAGTGTGTGTTCCAAGCCAGTGTGAGCAATGAATAAGCCGGTGCGGCGGCGGAGATGTAGCCCACAGCCAGATCCCCGACTTCAAACTGGATCACTGACGATGACCTACAAATGGGCCGCACAATTAATCAAAATTTTAACGCAATCGTAATATGGCTTACTGAAATTTTCAAACTGCAGGAGGCACAATATTAGTTAAAGGAGTTTTATCATATTCTACAGACCTAAACGACATCTTTGTCTGGTACATATCTACGCAAACATCCCACCAAAATCATTCAAACGGGTTTAACGAAAATGATCATCCCCTCTAATATTACAAATCACAACGCAATTTCTATTTACGTAAAAATAATGTCAATTACATATTTTTTTCAACATCGTTAAGCCCTACCTAAAAAACACAAGTACACGGTTTAGTATTATGAATTTCCTGTCATTTGCACATAAAAACATTTCACGTACCTGTTGAGTATGATGAGCACTACTGATCCATCTGGTCTGATAAAAGCAGAGTATTCCAGCTCTGTTTCCTGACTGGCGGACACGCCCACTCTCTGAGACCCTTCCCACAGGAACTTACTGTAGAAAAAGGAAGATCTCATTAGACCTTGTAATGATGGAACAGGTGAAAAATGCCATTCAGTGTGAAAAAGATCATGTGGGAGCCAGTTTAATACCTGAAGTGGGCCATGCTGTAGAAGTGTGGCTGCTTGTAGAAGACATCCCGCTTTGCATCCACTATAACAGGGCTGTCCACAAAGTTTTTAACCCAGTTTGGCCCACCAGTCTGGTCCAATGCCAGGTTCCAGTCAGTCCAACCCACAACATAATGATTTAAGTCCTGCCGTGGGGGAAAACACTTACAGTTCAGCATCTAGTCTGTGCTTTGTAACTTTGCACTAAGAGGTGTTGTTTTGTTCAGGACAGCACATCTACACAAACAAATCCCTCCTGATTCTCAAGATGTCTAGAGTCTGAATGCAGTCATGCAAAATAGATAGAACGGAGGGAGTCCAATTTCATTTGAGAGAGAGTGAAGAAAGAAGAAAGAAAACACCAGTTCCAGCATGCTTTGACGGCCTGCGGGTCATTTCTAAAGACTGTGTGCAGCAACTTGTAAACCTGAGGTGATTCAGCTTTCAATAGCAGCTCACAGCTTGTCAAATCTGTCACAGTGGATGTGACTGAACAAGCCTCATGCAACAGATAAGATGATCTTACCCCTATTATGTCATGTGCGTACTGTTCCGCTCTGTCCCAGCTACCCAGCTTCACCCCTTTGTCTAGTGGGCTCCAGCCAGAACAGGCCTCTGTGCCAAACAGGTAATACTCTGGGTAGAGATGATGGATGACTCCCAGGCTTATCTCTGCCGGGACGAGGCTATCCATGTACCAGTGAACTGCCACGCCATGAATGAACCTTCCTGCATGAATGTCATTTAGGACCTGGAGGGAAAAGTTAAAAAATATTTTAAAAAAACACCTAAAATGCATGCAGGAAGAGGGCAGGAAAAGGGGAGGAAGTCCTCCCCTTTCAGGATATCTGCAGGTACTGAAAAGTCAAACACATTGCATTTAGTTTCTTCCTCATATGGAATTAAAGAGTATTTATTTCGTCTCTTGCCTGCTGAAGAAGGTAATGTCAGGTAAATATTATTTTATGTGATTGAGTGGATTGTGTGCTACAGTAGCTCACTCTGGGCAAGTGTCAATTTTAGCAACAACAAAGGAACGTAAATTAATTTTTAATTGGTTAATCCATCACTACGTTTTATGCTGCTCATTGGGTCCAGGCTGCAATAACGTTATTGATTATAACATTAAGAATTATTACTATATATTGCTGGTAAAAACTCAAAAGTGTAATATAATAATACATTATTAAATAGTGTTCTTTGTGTCAATAAAAAGTATTAAAAAGTATTAAATTGAACCCTGCAGAAATCTATTTTTTTAATCTTGTCCTTGATTCTTGTGGCATTAAACAACAAAACTGGAGCAGCAAAAATTAATCGATTGGTTGTCAACTATTAAATTAACTGCCAACATTTTGATATTTGATTAGGTAATGTGAACAATTTTTTAAGAAAAATTCAAATAAACATTCTCTGATTCCAGCTGCTAGGTTCTCTTCTGCTCTATGACGGTAAACTGAACATCTTTGAGTTGTGGACAAAACAAGACATTTAAGAACTTCCTCCTGAGGCTGTGGGAAACTCTGATCATTTGTCAACGTTAGCATTTATCTCACCATATTAGAGATCAAACAACTGATTAATCGATAAAATATTCAACAATGAAAATGATCCTTAGTTGCAGCCCTGATAAACCACAAAACAACCCCCTTCTTCAGGTTGATTCCTATCTGATCGTTTTAGACTCTTTAATCCAAAATTAAAGAGTAAATAAAAGTCCTTTATTCCTGCAGCTGGACCCAACATCTTCGTTATTGTGATGAATGCATCTGAATTATATCATATTAAGTTATCATGTTAAGATTTTTTAGTATTGTTTAATACAGTTTCATTTCTTGCACTGCTTTATGTTAAAAATCCAATTTTCTTTTGCCTGCAACTGCAGAGTAGCCCCAGGTAGAACAAAGTTTACCATGACTTTACCCACTATATCTCTCCGTCCTTGGACTCACCACTTTGGCCCAGTGAGGCAGCAGCAGGCGGTTGTCATCCAGGATGAGGACGTGTGTGCGTGGGTGTGAAGAAGCATGCAGAGCAGGGCCCAGGTCCAGAGCCACCCAGTCCCTCTGCTCCTCAGGAGTGAAGCCAAGAGCCTGGAAACTGCAGTTAGATACTTCTCAGTCTGTTGTGCAATTCATGATCCATGGTGATGGTTAATTATTTGTAATATAATGTGAGGAGAGACCTGTAGTTTGTCATCTGTCCTGCAGAGGGCTCATTCCCTGTTGTCAAAGCCCAGAAGGTCAAGTTATATTTAGCATATTCCTCAAGGAACCTGAGAGGAAAGGAAAAAAAAAAAAAAGCAACCATCAGAATAATTTCCCCTTGTCAAAAGCATTACCAACATGTGACTTTGCATTAAGGTTAAAGCCCCCACATGGCACCTGATATAGTACTGAGCCCAGGTTTTGTGCTCCTTGCCCCCAGGCTGGCCCTTCAGGGAGCCCTTTCCTATGAGAGCACCGTTAGTTTTCATCCAGGCGGGGGCGCTCCAGGCGCTGGCCAGCAGAGACAGGGGGCGAGGAGACAAGGCCTGAGCACGCTGCAGGAGAGGGATCTGATCAGAGGAAGAGGAGAGATTAGAGCTATGGAGAGATGGACATGTGTTTGTGAGAGGAGGAGGAGACGAGAGGGACCTTCATGTTGACGTCCTCGGGGGCCAGTGTGAAATTGTCCAGGTTGTAGTCTCCAGGTGTGTCAGCATATGTGTACAGACGGGTGGAGAAGTCACAGCTGGCCATGGGGACACGCACCACGCTGTAGCCGATACCTGCCAGAGACACAGCAATATAATCAGATTTTTAAGAGAATTCATCTTTGTTTACTCTTTGCTTTGAACACATAAACATTAGCAGTTGATCCCAGAATATATCTATATATTTAATGCTATTGCATTTTATATTTACAAATTTCTATTCTCCAAATTGATCATTATCATCCTTATACGTAGACGACGTGGATGGTGATGGTGATTCGGTTGATATGGGAAACAAACTAACCTGCACATATAGACACCTCTCACAGAACGTGTGAAATGTATTTTCATTGTGTTGAAGCAGGACAACACTGGTTGCAAAGTGTTTTTACATGAAAAATAAAGAAACAAGAATAACAAATGCGTATCTTATCCCTGGAATTTATGGCCACGTTATGCTTTTCTGACCCGACACCCTACTGTTGCACACAGGAGATTCCTTTCACTGAGTGTACCTTCGGGGGAGAAGTACTGATGCAGCAGCTGGTCCTGTGCACCAGCAGAAAGAGACAGGATGTTAATGGCCGCTGCGTCCGTCATTGCTCCACCGAACCCCCTGATCTTCTGGTACTTCTGGTAGGGGACGATCGTCAACCTGAGGCCTGAAAGGAGACGCAGAAAGAGATGAGACAGATGCTCCAACACCACAGACTGCTGCAGCTGAAGCCCACATCATCCCTCACCTGCACCGGTGCTGTTCACCTGGACCGGACCCCGGCCCGCCTTCAGTCTGCTGCCGGCCATGCTGGTCAGGTAGGAGGAGTACTGGCCCAGTGGAGGCAAAGTGACTGACCCAACACTGTCACAGTAGGTTGAGTTACACTCACACACCACAGAGTCATGGCCAAAGTTTCTGGCAACACATGCATTGCTTCCTGGAATGGAGAAGAAGTCACAGCAACATGACTTTCTGTCTGTACTGGTGAACAGAAGCTGTATGATTGCATGCAAGCGAGAGGATACAAAGCATTGGGACAACCTGTGCAGCGTTACCTGTAGAGAGGGTCACTTCCGCCGCGAGGAAAACTAGTGCCAAAAGCACAGATGATGGCGACAACAACGCCATTTTATCTAGAAACAAACATCTAAATTAGGCTAGAGTTCAAATTTGATAAAACACGGATTGAATCAGTGTCCCGGAAGCACTTCAAACTGTAAAACAAAAGTGAATAAAGACCCAGCTGCTGCGATAAGCTGATACACACACACACACACGTTATTGTCAAGTCATTCAGATCACTGAAGAGATGTCCTCACCTCAGAGGACGCAGACAGAAACTCTGTCATGTCCCGCGGGTTGATTTTAAAAATATTTAAAAATACACTCAGCAGTCACTTTGACCAATCTGCCATACCAGCGCTTCCTCTATCACCACCACTATGTTTAGGCGATCAAATGGACTGCTGCTCAGTCACGTGACCTTGTAAACTATCACGTGACCAGCTGAAGAATGTGAACCGCCGCCAGATGGCGCTTGGCCATAAAAGCAGGACGCAGACTGATAAGTGTCTCATTCAAGGTTTGTTTTGTTTTTAGACGCTTACAAAGCCTGTAACACGTCTTTTCAATATGTTTTAGTATTGTTTTTAAATGTATTTGTGCAAATTGTAATATCTGTGTCAAAATAAAAAACTTTTTTGCACTTATTTTTTCTCCCACTTTACCCATCTCTATCACACAAAGACATTAACTAAGTGGCAGATAATACCTTTGCATTCCTAAATAATGCTTTTCAGATTCCCATAGATTCATTCGATTCAAGACAGAACTACTTGCAATTAAAGACTGCAGGTTTAATTTTTAATAAAGTTCTTTTTTTTTTTACTTTATTCAACATTTTATTATCAAAGTTACACACATGCATCATAATTTACAGACATTATGAGTATGGACATTTGTATATTTATGTATTTCTAGGACACTGATATTTGTGTGTATGATGTGTGTGTGTGTGTGTGTGTGTGTGAGAGTTAAGTCTTTCTGTAACTTCATAGGAAGGAACTAATTCTGTCCAACATCGATGGATTTCTGTTGCTCAAAAAGATGAGCTCTTTCTTTCCATTTTCTGTTCGACCTGATGAGAGGAAAAATAATTTAAAGTTACTGAAAAAGCATTACTTTAAAAGAAGAAAGGCATCCACAGTATCATCGCTCACTCTGTGGATGCTGCAGCCACTGGCGGTCCATGAAATAGAGGTAACAGCTCTCAAACTCCTTCTCGCTGTAGTTGGGCACCGACACCGGGATGAGCGGGTCCATGGTGTCAAACCCCCTCTGATGAGCCAAACACAGACAGGAAGTCAGCATATGAGACATCAAACATCGCTTTAAAAGTCATGTTCAGGAAAGAACGTCGAAACACTTTTTATGCTCGCCACAAATATCAACAAATCATAACCAGTATGTCTTGTGTGTATCACTTTATTTAAATCTGAAAAACATCTTCAGCACTAGTTCTGAGGATTGCTCTGATCCTGTACGGAGGCCAGGTTTGCAAATTTCCGACAAATGAATGAAGTTGGAAAAGAGAAGGAAAGACTAATCTGCTGTCAGAGCTCGAGGAGAAGTGCTACAGATTATTAAGTACAATAAAATGATCTCTGACCTCTCCCAGCAGCTCTTGAGGCAAGTAGGAAGATTTCGAAGTGTAGAGAGACCCCGTCTGAGACAGAGTGGTGATGATGGCGCCTCCAGTCTGAGACAAAAAGAGTGAATGTTATAAAGAAATCTGAGATGTAATATTCTCATGCATCTGTGGTCATCTCCTTTAGTGCGTTCTTCTTACCCAGCTGTTCGTCATCAGCTTTTTCAGGTTATAAACCAAAGTGAGCTGCTCTGGATCTACCTGATGACAGTAAGAGAGAGAGACACGTCAGCTGACAGAGAAGCATGAAGACAAAAAATGAGAAGTGACACGTTTGTTGATGCGTTTCCTCACAGCACTCTTATCCTCCTTCTTGATGGTGGATCTTCCCCACAGGGCGTTGACACCATCCACAGCCACGGCCAGGCGGAAGTCTGACTCTGGCTGCCCGCTTTGCATCCTCAGCTCCTTCATCACCGCCCCCACCACATCACTGCTGCTCTTCACGCGAGATATACCCTACAGCAAAAGAAACATCCATCAGATGCCCGATGACAATCTCTTTAAAGCGACTGAATGGCAACTCCGCCGATTTAACACATCAAAGTCTGCTTACAGATCTTGAAGAGTATACCATTACAACACCAATTGTGGGTGATGTAAAATGTTTTTATTGCATTTTACTCTTTTATAGAGTATCAACAAACAACTTTGTAGGTCAAACTCTGAGCCACTGGGTTATGGTTGAAGCGAACAGTAATTTCATGCTCCGTTTCTTTAGGTACAGATGCAGGAGGTTAGAAACTGGTTTGATTTCTTTTGTCTAATAATGTGCTGTCAGAAGGCTGGCTATTAATATCAGATCTAATTAAAGCTCACAACAAGCTCACAGCAACACCAGCGGTGTTGAAAAACGTGTTTGTCTTGTTAAGGAGCAAATGATTGATTGAAAGAGGTGAAAAATCCCCCGACTGAACATAACTCTCCTGCTCTTTTCCACCTTTGTCAGTGAGTGTGGTACAAACATATTGTGCTGATCCATCCTCGTGCTCAGTTCATTGGCTATTGATCACCACTAAGCAGCACAGTCAAGGTGAAAGATGAAACTCTAATGACCCCCAGTGGGGAAATCGGTAGATGAAGGAAAGGATAGGTAACAAAAACAAAAAAACTACAGAATTGATGAGAAGGTCTCGGAGGGCGAGATAAACCACATCTCAAATAAACACACACAAATACTCTGTGAGAAAACTCACCTGATCCACCAGCTGCCCGAGTGGACTTCCCTCCTCAGTGAACTCTCTCTTTGTCCATGAATAGCGCTGCTTTGTCTTTATCTGGGAGAGAAACCACACAGTTTAATGGTCTGGGTCCTCATTTCTATTCATGCACCAGGCGTCAGATGTTTTTTATTTGCCTCATGACATCACAAATTACATCTATTAATATTTCAACACTCCTTTCTCCATGCTAAAGAGCACTAAAGTACTCAACATGCTCCGTCCTCAGTACATTACAATATAAAATCCCTCAAATAATAAACCTCAAACCATATCATGCTGTTATGTAGCTACTCTGTTATGCAAAGACACTGTGCTACGAACGCTGCCTTTAAGAGCGGTGCATAAAGGGAAATTCAGGTGGTGTCATAAACCAGTTTAATTATGTATATCAGCATGTGACCGAAACCGCTGTGAAGATGCTGTCAAGGCTCATTCGAGGTTTATAAATGCCGACATGCTTGTTAATAATGTGACAAATGATGTAATACTCCACAAGCCTTTATTTTGACGATAAGTACTCAAGAGTCATCAAGTTCATATTGTAAAATTGCAGCCTATATAAATATCATCTGATGCCGGATGTTTATAAAAAGGCACACTGCGGAAAGATCTCTACCTTTGAGAGGAAGCGCTCATTGGTGATTCTGAAGTTGCGCAACCATTCGGTGGCTTGTAATGGCTGATCAAAGCGAGAGGTGTTATAGGAGGAGGGCAGCAGCTCTTTGCAGTTCTTCACCCAGAGGTGAGCTATATTAGAAAGAAAAAAACCAGAGAAGTAGGTCACCCTCTGTGCAGCGGTAGCAGCCAGGCCCTTGTGTGATTGCGTTTGTCTCACCATCAGGAACATGCAGCACCAACCATCCCTGTGTGTAGCAGAAGTGGAGTGTGTGACAGAGAGACATCGTCTTCCCACTGCCCTTCAAGCCATCTGAACAACTTGATAAGGTTAACAACGGCGTTTATCAGAAGCACGAAGAGTATATTTATCTGCGTGTGTGGTTGTGAGCACGTGTTGCAAAGGATACAGAATACATATCGTAGAGAAGGTTTGCTGTAGTCTGCTTTCTTCAGGTAAGAGATGACTTCTAGAGACGGCTGCCTCACCATCATACAGGCTTCATTAAACGTCTTCGCCTAAAAGACACACATTCGTCGGCATTGGTACATTTAACCAAAAACAATAGATCAAGCCACAAAATACTATCTATGAGCCAGTATGTTTTAAAATAATGTGGATGCTGTCACACACATACCTGTTGTTGATAGCGCCGAGGGAGACCGTGAGGGAACAGAGTGCGGATGTGTGCAGAGGGCAGCGTGTAATACTGTCCCATTTGTTTCTCTGAATGACACGCCTGGAAAGAGCGAAAATACGTGAGATCAACAGCTAAAATCATGCAAATATATGGACATCTTGCTGCTACGAATATAAATCTGCAGCAACTAGGCAGCTGTGCTCTGTTCTTCCCTGCTTGATAGCTTGATGAAGACATTTGCACTGCTTGAGTGAGATTTGCTTACTGGATCATTCTCCTGTGTTCTGAAAACTGAGAACTGCTCAGGCTCCACAGCCACAGCCTCCTGCTGCTGCCCACATCCACTGGTATGAAGGGACCTTACATGCGTTACCTGCAAAAAATTATTATAGAATGAATACTCTTGAGAATCCAGAACAATGATCGAAACAGAACACATGGTACTGTAATGATATGAGACACATTAAAACAGATATAAACCTAATAAATCAATTATAAAGTACAAGACATTAATACACTGATAGAAAGCCTTCAAGAAAAACTGAGCCCAGTTAAAACAGCTTGTACGCAAACTTGTACTGTAATCTATGTTAGACATGGTGGAGTGTTTTGCGAAATTGTGATGCTCCTAGAAGGAAGGCCAGGGTTATTAGGTGTTAACAAACACCTTAAAAAACAACAAATAAAAATTTAGAAAAACAAAAATAAAATAGAGAGAGACATAGGAAGCTGTGTTTCTTGTAAGACTGTACCTGTTAAAACAGACAAGATTCTGTTGTCACACACCCTCTGCGTACGGATGTACGGGGGAGGGGAGCGCACACACACACACACGCACACACACTCACGTTCCTGAGGCGGTTCAGGTGGCGATTTCGTAGGTGATTAAGGTTCATGATCTCCTTGGTAATACGGGGTTGCGACCTAACCTCAGTGGGACGTGTTGTGAGCACACATACACACACCCACACATGGTAGCAGGGCTTGTGGAGACTTTCCCCACCCTTGCACATAGGTTCACACAGAAGGCACCTGCTGAGGTTTGCATTCTGCATTAACCCTTTAGCTGGTCAAACATATATATGAGAATACCGTGGTATTAATCTGAACCCCCTTCAGGGGACAGGTGGAGATGTGATGTTTGCACATCTGCACGCACGATATTGGCGTTCTGGAAATACCGAGGCCCAGGGGCCATCCAGTTTCTGCACTCACGATTTATTACTTATTGTCTTTCCCGGTTGCCTTAAGCACCGGCACTTGATCACGTCTCTGCATTTACGGTAGTTACTTATTATCCTTTAGGGTTAATTGAAACTTCATTTAGGGTCATGGGACCTCGTCTGCATTCTTATATATCCTTTAGGGCTAATTGAAACCTCAGTTAGGGTCATGGGACCATGTCTGCATTCCTGCATTTAGACGCCAGTTACGCAAATGGGTACATATAAATAAGAATACCCTGGTATTAATCTCATGCTGGGGAAAAAGGTGTTTTATGTTTTATAATCATGTATTGTTTGGAGTGGCATGTATCTCTGTGTCCTGTAGGCATCAACCAGTGAGCAGGGTGTGTCATGTGTCGTGAGTACTAGCAGATGTAATTGGGTTGGCCTATACTTCTGACCTGGACAAACACTATGGTCATCCAGGTATGACAAAATTTAAGGGGTGTTACCCTGATACTGTCCTAACCCACGGAGGCACCAAGAAGAGGGGGTTACTTTGCCCCAGGTGTTGTTAATAGTATAAGTATTCTCGGTTTTCAAGGACCTTGAGCTGAGTCGGGGGAGAAGCCCACCAGGTTAGAACCTGCGCTGGGTTAATCTTTAAACTTTTTTCTCCGGACGATTTAACACAGCCTGCTAATGCACACACTACAAAAAAAAACAATACAGGTGTTTTGCTCCAGTTTTCTTCCTGCATCCTTGCTTTATAAACAGAGATATACAAACATATTTTAAAAAATGGATTATTCTTCATATACTGGGCAGGTTATGTGTCTGCAGCTTCTCCAAAAGTCCTCAAACCTACTGTTTAAATGGACCTTACCGTTTGCCGTAGTCTGAAGGACAGTCTGTGCAGCGCCATGATCTGAAACATGGAGGACGACACGAGTTTAAGTTATATTTCAGGGGTCGCAAGTGCCACTGAAGCAAGTAGTATGTAAAAACCCAGCAGTGTCCTTTAACCTTGCGTAAACACTTAGCTAACAGCTAGCTGTGGTCCCCAGCAGGCATGTCACTTACAGGCAATGTTAGCTAACGTTATTTTAGCGCAGAAAGCTGTTTACCTGCGATTCAGTTCAGATTCAGTCACGACGATTTCGGTTAAGGTCATCTATTGGTAAAATTTCCCCGGAGTGGATTAAGGAAAGGGTAAACTGCACACCTCCAGGCGAAGTCAATGTGCCAGATCTGTCATGGAGACCGCCATCATGCACCTCAGTGCCGGAAGTGACGTTGTACCATCACACATATTTCTAGCCAATGAGAAGGGGCGAGCCAGACGACAACAACTGAAGAAAATGGAGTTTGTCAGACTTTGACACATTTTACCTGTAATAATAATGAATGCTGTTAGAGTTATGACGGCTGTAAACACACAGCGGAGGAGTCCAATACATAATTAACTCTTTGGAGAAGGACAGTGCTCTTTTTAAGCACTAAACACAACTCTCTTGATAGGATTTATAAGAGCTGTTGCCAACGTTTGTCCTTTGAACCAAATAGGCCTCCAGTATTTTTAATTTTATAATATCCTTTAACCAATAGATCTGTAGTAGCTCTAGGTAGATTAAAATAAAAGTCACAATTCCCTTTTACAAAGTGTGAATGCATGATGAAAAACAAATGTTTTCCAGCCAGCTTTTACCTCCTTATTCTTTTATTTTCTTAAGCCTCGATTTGCTTATTATGATGTTCCTATTTGAAAATGAATTGTATTACTTACATTATTCACATTTTATGGAAATGTTAACTAAGCATTTACGTTTTTTTAACAATCAAACTATCAGTTGTCAAAAACAGAAAATCATTTTTAAATAATACTGCGCAAGATGTATATCCCAGGCTGGATTAGCATCCAGGCAAAGACGCCAACAGCCCCCATGCTCCTGTACTCCCAGGACCCCTAAAAAGGCGTTTTTTTGTGTGCACTGTACTTGATAGGAACTCATAGTTGACAGGACACATAAACACAGCAGAAGAGGTGGGGAGTGAGGGTTTGAGGCATAAGGACCATAAACATGTTCTCTGGGCACCCTAAAGAATTAATCTGGCCATGCATTGAGGCAAAGATTTATTACCAACCATGCAAAGTTGGCAACAGCCCCAGTATACCCAGATTCAATATGTGTCATTTGGTATAGTAATTTAATGAATTTCTAATTTGCTCTCCAAATTTGCATCATTACCTTATCCCGAAGTTCTGTCTTTTTGAATGACCCTAGTTTTAAAAAAACGTTATTGTGATATTATCCTTACATGTAGGCTACATATTCTTAAATAAAACAGTGGTTTTCATTTTAACTACCCAAAACTATTGTACATACAGCAATCCCTCTTAAAATAGTGGTTGTTTACTGGGTACAGGTGAAATTCATGAGTCTGTCCTGTTACAGAGTTGCATTGACTGCAGGAGGAACAAGGGGCCAATAGGGGCCCAAAAGCTCATGTTTGTCATCTGGCCTTCAATAGACTTACAAACAACAAAACAACAAGTGTTATTTGCTGCTACTGCTTTAGTACTATATCATATTGTAACAACGAATAATAAACAGTAATAATAATGTAATTTTAATATAATGATTATTACAATAATCGTTATTATCAATGTTAATGCAATTCTAGATTACATTATTTTATGTTCATACCAAAAAATTACGTAAAATCTGTAGTAGAAATATGTTTTGTTGAAGCCCTATGTTATTTTGTGTTATTCCACTGAGTGGAGGAAAACATTGCTTGTATGGATCAATATGTTTCAGTGATGATAAACAGCTCTCACATATGAACTTTTTAATAAGTGCTTCTTCCATGCTGCCTCTCTCTCTCTCCTCTCCCACTACAGTAAACTGAATCCCGTTACACTACAGTGACACAACTTTTGAGCTGCTCCCTTAATTCTTACCACCAGCCTACTTCAGACAAGTCGTCGCCATTTTATTAAACGTCTAAATAGCCCTCCCCAATCGCCTATTATGAACCGCATTGAGATCCTGTGCTCTATTCGCCGTTTTATCCCCTCCTCTGGCCACACGAAAATGGCCACGCAATTGCATTCCCGCACATCCACCAACCCCTCTGCGCTGTCACCGCCTGTAACCCCGCACACACACGAGGTGCTGCAGCCCTTCGTCCCCCGTCATACTGACACGTTAACAGCTCGTGTGAGCACAATCTGATCCATTATTACTGGCGGGGAGCGATGTAACTTTCCCCGAGAGAAGTGGGCAGAAATACGATCCAGTGTAACCAGTCCGCCACCTAGCTGCGGAGACACGCCGACGAAGATCTGTCGACTGTATGAAAATGAAAACACCCGCGCCAATGTTGTTGCACAGTAGGCTCTGCGCTCCGATGAGACTGAAACTCGGTTTAAGGAGGTGTTTTAACCTCCGCTGGCTTCAGTTATGTAATCAAAGCAACATCTAATGCACCAAAAAGCTCCGGATTGCTGTTGGTGTGGAGGGGAAAGCAGGACAGCAACACCTTAACCTCATGCCTAAACGCAGTTGGCTCCGGGACGCGCTCTCGGGTAAGTAGCCTACGTAGCCTTATTACAGATTTTCATGGCAGTCTGTATTAATGTGTGCAGGCCTGTCATCACCAGCGAGCTCACAGCACTGTAGGGTTACCGATAATGTTGTGCATCCGCGGTGCGCTAATTTTATCCCTTGTTGCTGAGTATGTTTCTCCCTCGGTTCTCCGTGCGCGGTGATATTTATTATTTCAATGTTGCTGACACCAGCAGGGCTGGCAGAGGACAGATAGAAGAGGGGAAAAAAGGTGGCTCGGGGACTAATCCACATCACAAACACTATAGCAAGCACATTAGGACGCTAGCAACCCCACTTCCATGTTGAGTTTCAATTTGTGTATGTTTTTGGACGCTTAATATGTGTTTCATATCGTATTATGGACATAGGAGTGACGACAACAACAACACGTGCATGTGTGTATCATTTTTAAGTGCGACAGCATCAGGCGGAGAGTGTTTTTCAGAGGTGCGCAAAGTCATTATGGAGAAGGAAGCCCCCGTGGACGTCCTCAGTAAACCGGGGATAGGTTGCTCCAGTGCGGTAACACCCCCACTGCCCATACTGTATCTACAGTAGCAACATCAGTCAACCTACGCAGCTGCGACCTGCATGGTACACAATGTAGGCCTACGACCAACACACTTATAATACACTAACTAGAAGAAAGTGTGTGTGTGTGTGAGAGAGGAGGAGGGGGGGGGGACTCACGTGAGAAACTTCCATGTGTATGTGGAGTGGAGTGAAGCTTCATGGTTCAGTATTTTAAGATGCCATCACAGCAGGACTTCTGTACTGTTGTCAGGCAGAGGATAATGGTGTTGTAGTTATTGATGATAACACCGTCTTGGGATGGTGATTATGGCTGGAAATATGGTGGGGTGGGCCATTATCATGATTTAATCGTCGCCTCAGCACTGCCGAGGAACCCACACTGACTGCAGTGTCAAGTCCACCCATCATCCTGTCACTGGAAATAGCTTCTGGTCTAATGTTGGAATAATTTTGAGTTATGTTTGAGAGGTATAGCTCGGAGTATAAAAAGCTATTAGTATGCACTTTGACTGAT